GAAGAGCATAAGATGAATATAATGTGTTAATCGAAGGGTTCCAGACCTTGCATGATTTCTGTGAAAGTTACTTGAGCATCTCACTAGGTCATTTAGAATTATATATTACATCTCTATTAATGGCATGTGAAGCTCGGTAATTGACTCTTAAGTTTGGCATTTGTGGTGAATACTTGATTTGAATTTCTTCAGTTATCTTGTCATGGAGGGGTTTGTTGGAATGCTTGGTGAGTGAAGGGAATTTTGATCACTTGTTGCTGAAATTGTTTCTTGATATTAATTTTCCTTAAGGACAAACAAAATGCAAGTGTGGGAGAGTTTGATGGGCTAGAATTTGTGCTTCATTTTATGTTAATTTATAACAATTATATGTTTATTATTTGTGTAATTAAGAGGTTTGAGTTATATTTTGTGTTAAAATGAATTTTAGAGTGCGGGGTTTTAATGGAAGGATTTGAGGATTTATTGGACTGAATTGAGAATATAATAGTGCCATTTTAAGTGGAGTTGCAAATCCACGAAGTGTTCATAAAGTTTTCAAAACAAATTGGGCTTATAACCCAACTCATACGTGAGAAAAACAGGGGTTGCACTTTTGGAAAGGTTCATGAACCTACTGTGCTAGCAGAAGAAAAAAGGATCCTAAGAATGTAACACCCCGCCCCGTAGGGCCCGAGGTAGTTACTCATACACACCCTCCAGACCTCTAGTACTGTCCTCACAAACCACCACTAGCCTTTTACGCGCACTTTGTCCTCTCTCGTGCGCGCTCTGAGACACTTCCCAGGGGGTCACCCATCCCAAGACTACTCCCGTGCAAAAACGCTTAACTTTGGAGTTCTTGGCTAATGAGCTCCCTTAAAAAGAGATGCACCTCTGTTGGTATGAGTAGTACTATTAATCCATTTATATTAAATCTCAAGTGTTACAATCACCCCCACTTAGGATCGCAACGTCCTCGTTAGGGGTGTGCATTAACCGGTCCAGACCGTATTTTAGACCTGAACCGGACCGGAATGGGCCGGTCCGGACCGGACCGGTATAAACAGGTCCGGGTTTCGGTCCTTAGAATTCTATGATTCCGGGTTTCCGGTCCGGTCCGGGTCAAACCCGGAAAAAACAGGTCCGGACCGGTTGACCCGTTAAATTAATACTCCTTAAAATATATGCTTCGGTCCATTGATTAAACTTGGAAATTAGGTTCGTTGCTACACCGTCTACACTGCCAACATACTTTCTGGCAAAGAGTATTTTAGTTTATATTCTATTATATTAGTCTTTTATATTCTATTTAGCAAATTTGCAGGTGATAAATGAATGCAATTAGTCTTTATTTAGACCGCAGGTTTGCCTTGTGCCATTGTGCAGGATCTACCGAGTACAAATCATGAATTCATGGATGTAGTTTATGAGTAGTTTTTATTTAGTCTATTATGTTCTCTCTCTTTTTTACCGTTAGTCTATTATATCCTATTTGGCAAATTTGCATATGAGATTACTTCTTAAAGTTTATAAATGAAAGAAATAGTTATTTAAAAAACCGGGTCAATTATGGTTAAAACCGGACCGGACCGGAAAATTCAGGTCCGGGTCGGTCTGGACCGGTTAGTATCCGGTCCGGTCTTCGGTCCTTATAAAATTGAGATTCCGGTTCCGGTCCAAACCGGTTCCGGTCCGGTCCGGTCCGGTTTTGGACCGGTGCACACCCCTAGTCCTCGTTGCGCCCTTGAACCAATCTCAAATCTCAATCAAATCCCAGAATCTTCCCCCGCTAAGTGCCCGCCCGATATCCAACGGGTCATCACACTGTCGCGGGGTTGCTCTGATACCACCTGTAACACCCCGGCCCCGCAGGACCTGAGGCAGTTACTCCGCATACCCTCCGGACCTCTAGTAATATCCTCACAAACCGCCTCTAGTCTTTTACGTGCACTTTGTCCTCACTCGTGCGCGCCCTGAGACACTTCCCAGGGGGTCACCCATCCCAAGACTACTCCCGTGCAAGAACACTTAACTTTGGAGTTCTTGGCTAATGAGCTCCCTTAAAAGGAGATGGACCTCTGTTGGTATGAGTAGTACTATTAATCCGTTTATATTAAATCTCAAGTGTTACAAAGAACAAGAGGATACTTCATGAGAGAGTTCGAGAGTCTCATCAGTCCAATCCACATATTACGACAGGGCAAAAGCAAGACTCGGACTCTAAATGAAAAAAGCTAGACTGGGAGGCCGAACACAGAGGAAGACATCGAGGCAACTGGAGAAGGCTGGAGCACAGAACAAAGTGGCAGAAACGATTCTTCTGATCTGCCTATTTTGAAGAGTTTGCTCTATCTCAATTACTCTTGCAATTTTAATCACCGTTTGTTCTGATATGAGTAGCTAAATTCTTATGTCCAAGATATGATGATGTTGCTATGATTTAGTATAAAATTGTGATTTTAGTTATGTCAATTGGTTGAGTTTTATCAATTGTTCTTATTCGTTTAATTTGTTGTGTTAACTTCTGGCCAATTTTAGCATGATTTATTAAGTTGTTTGAGTGGATTAATAGAGTGCATGCCATGCCTATTATTTCGAGCACTTTTAGATAAAAGAATAGATAATTAAACTGTCTTGTTAGGTTATCTATTTGGTTCTTAAACCGGGTTTCCGTAGTTCTTTTGTGATTAATGGATTTTAACTATTGAATTAATTATTTTTTATTGATTAATATTTAAAGTACATAACTTATTCTGGACGCCATACAGAATGTTCATATTTTTACCTAGAACAAACCCTCAATTTTAATTGATTAATTAAATCGCAAATATTGAAATTTGGTGACAGATTCATAGTCATGGACTTTCCTTTATCTTGCTAAGTTCTCAATCATTTTCCCATAGTTGTTTAATCACTTTATCTTTATTCATTTGAATTACTTGCATTCATTTTAATTCAAGCTTTACTTTCTCAGTTTCAACTCAAACAAATTCAAAACTTCTTTTTTTTAAAGTTAGATTAATTTCACTTTTATTTTTATTAATAGTTTTCCAATTACTTAGTTGCATTTCCCCCGCGAATTCGACCATTACTTGAGCATTACTTAGTTGACCATTACTTAGTCACTACAGTGACTCGTGCACTTGCGAGGACTATTATAAATTGTTTATCAAGCTATGATTGGGAAGCAGGTGTGGAGACTCCTAAAATTCCTCTCATCTATAGTTTGCAGGAATTTGAAATCTCGTTACTATTCACATGAGGATATCTTACATGCCACTATTTAAGGGAAGTAACTCGTCCCTTATATGCTGGAGTATCATGGCAGCTATATCAGCAGTTTGGGATGCTCTTATTTTTTTCGTATAAGTCATGAAGACTCATCTGAAGTTAGGAAAGACAACTGGCTACCGTCCGGATTCTTGCAGACCAACCTCTAACATGGTGACAAGCCAAGACAAAATGATATTCTGGTTCAGTCTCTTATGACTGTCGACGGTCACAATTGGGATCATGATATCTTACTCGATGTCTTTAACAAGGATGCTATTTTGAGTATTCCTCTAAAAATTCTATAGCGGGACAACAAACTTATGTGGGCTGACAAAATGCGAGGTAAATATTTGGTTAATAAATGCTACCGTGCTATGACTAAAAGAAATTAGAATAAGCCAGTTTGGACCCGTATGCAGAAGCTTTTCCTTCTATGGAAGCTATAAGCTTTCTTTTGGCAGGATTGCACATGTAGCTTACCAACAAAGGTTTGTCTTCTCCAACGACGAGTTCTGATTAACCTAATTTGTCATACTTGCGGTCTTAAGAGGGAGGACACAATGCATGTATTTGGTAAGTGTCTGTTAGCAACTGAAGCATGTCGCCAACCAAAATATGATATTCTCGCAGGGTTTTATAGGTTGGGCAAACTCTGTTAGTCATAGTTGTTCATCTGAGGAGCTATGTCGATTTATAATAATCTATTGGAGCTTATAGAAGGCTAGAAATGATGGTGCTTAGAAGTATGACTCGATCAACTAGAGAGGTGTTGTTGCGAGATGGGAAGCGATTCTAGCTGGGTGGCGAGAAGCTCAAACACGCAAAGCAACACTAGAGAAAAGAACCGTCCAAGAATGTCGGAAACCTCCCACCTATGGGACAGTTAAAATTAATGTCGATGTCGTGGTGGAATCATAAGGCCCAAGAAGAGGTCTGGGTATGGTTGCTAGTAATACTACGGAAGTTGTAGCTATTAGAGAAGCAATTTAATGGGCATCAACTTCCGGCTAGAACAATATTATAATAGAGTGAGATGCACAACATATCGTCCAAGGTATCAAAGCTTTGGATGTCATTTCTACACCGACAATATCTTTGAGGATATTAGGCATATGATGATTGATTTTGTCAAGATAAGTGTCTTTTTTGTTCATAGGTCAACAAACAAGGTTGCTCATATGTTACCTAGACAGGCTCTTTATAAGTCTTGTTGTGTGTGGTACCATAAGCCACCTGATTGCTTAATGGATTTGTTACACAACATTATTAATTAATAAAGCTGCTACTTTCTCCATCTCATTCAAAGCTTCTAACTTTCCTTTTTGGACGTCACATATAAAAGTTTTCGGTTCTATTATATGAAACAATCAATACTCTCAAATCACAACTTAATCATCAAATATTAAAAATAAAACATCAATAACATCATAGTTATTATCAATGACCCCATTATAATATACATTCATTAAAATTATTTCTGAAAATATTCTCAAATAACTGTATCATTTTATAAAAAAGGTAACAAGGCTTCGTAAAATGTACTCAGTATGAGCAAATTATAAACCGTGCACAGTAAGAGAGAAGTGCTCCGTTAGGACAGGAGTAATTAAGAACTAACTTAAGAATAAGGTAAAGAAGAAAAGAAGAGATGCATATCGCTGTGCCCATTCTGGAAAAAACTACTGCACAATTATCACTCAATTATTATTTACAAACATAAAAAGATAAACAAATTCGGATCAAAGTATTCAAAACCCTTTCCCCCAAGTTTCATCCTTCCATAAAAGAAACGAAAAAAGAAAAATTCAAATCAACAATCAGCATCGGCTCCCCTCTCCCCATTTCTCTCTCGCATATGCGATACAGATACACATATATCCGTCACATATATACCTCTGAAGGATTTTGTCTGGTCGGGAGTGGCGGCGAAGATGAGCGGCAGCAAGAGCAGCAGCAGCAAGAGCAGTAGCGTGGTTGGCGGAGGAGCTGCGACGGCTAGGGTTTCAATCCCGAGCGGCGTGCTGAAGACGATCCAGCAGATTAAAGAGATCACTGGAAACCATAGCGATGAGGAGGTATACGCGATGCTCAAAGAATGCTCCATGGATCCCAATGACACTATCCCCAGGCTTCTCTTTCAGGGTGGGTTGTCACCCATCGCTCATTCTCTCTTTCCGTCTACTTATCTTTTCTGTCTATTTGCCAGCGGGTATATACATGCCTGCCTATGTGCATGCATGTATACAAGTATACACCCTTCATAGCATCTGGACTGGTAATCAGGCCTGATCCTGATTTCAGCCTCTGTATAACCTGCACAGCAATTGTAGTGAGACTTTATTAGTTTATGCAGTGTTTTTATTTCCTGTTAAATTTTGCGGCCTGCTTACCTATTTTGCTCTCACTTTATGTATCCTTATAGTTATTTCTCATTTTGCCTGATCCTATTCATAGCCGACTGCAATCAATTTTTTAGTGGCTAGGCAGAGAGAGAGAGAGAGAGAGAGTAAGAAATAAGATAAGTTTTGTACCAATGTCCCTCTTTTATCTTATTCTTTTTATGTGTTTCTAGAGCACCTTAATCCTGTAATTATTTCATGTGAGTAGCTGGCGTTTTACTTTCTAAAAATAAATTTATACTGCAGTAGTGTTTATTTTTGTTTTCATTTAACATTTTCACACGTTTATGATATTCTACCAAAGATTTATGTGCTTTCTCCGAAGTTTGTACATTAAAATACCATCAGCTCTGTTCAAGATTGTTTACATAACCTAAACCATCTTATACTTCCCAATTTGCCAATTTTTCGCTAGACATCTCATAACAAAAACAAGGTTGCGCTTACAAGGTTGCCAAGAGAATGGGAAAGTATTTTCATGTGTTCAGTCTTAGGTCTATGATCCTAACAGCCCCGTTTCAGATTCCTAATTTAACAAACAGTTGTCTATTATAAATGTTCCGTTGATTAGTTAGTAACTAAGGTTCAATAGTTTGCTTTATTTAGAAAGGTCATGCTTTTAAAATGTAAACACACTGTTCTTAAATCAATATATGGAATATCAGAATATGTTAAGCAATGTGCTAGAATTTGCATGCTCTTGTTTATTTTGAACTGCCTATGATGTGCTAGGGTTTGCGTGCTAGAGTTTGCCTAGCACATAGTTCACCAACACATTATTTAAATGTATTTCCCTATGTTCCCCATTTTTTGTAAATCCAATGTTTTTATATGCTTGCAGACACCTTCCATGAAGTGAAAAGGAAACGCGAGCGTAGAAAAGAGGTATTATTTTTATTGGGTTACTTGTATATATATAAAAATAAGCAGCCAGTTATTGCTGTTAGATTTATAAGCCAATGAGAATGGATAACCAACTAATGAAAGTAGTATTAATTTTATAGATTGTGACTAAAAGCCGTGTATACATTTCGGGAATTTCTGTGGACATAAGTGTGCTAGTAGCCATGTAATTATGCATGTAGTCAGCATGGTGCATCTGGTCAGTAGGCCTGGAAACAGTTTTGGCACACTACGTTTCTAAAAGAAGAATTTCTATCTGCCATGTTTTTTTTGGATGAATATTAAAATGTATTACCGAGACCAAAAAAATATGTCCAAGTTCCAAAAGGCATGCTCCGAAGCAACCCAAATTACCTAATGGCTTTATATAAAGCCCAAATAGGCAAGCCAAAAGAAAAAGTTCAAAATGAAACCATAGTGGGATATAGTCCACATAATTTCTACCAAAACATTTATCTATATCTCTTGAACTGAGGTGTTCATGTCAAAGTATATGGCATTCCTTGACCTCCTTACCAAGATACATAGTATTGGTAAAGGCTAGCCTCCATTTGCTCAATTTTGTTAATTTGGTCCCTAGACTTGCGCCTTCATGTTATCAACTGACTCCCCAAGTACCTCATTTACCCACCTACTTTCGTGCTTTTCTGCATATCTGTCCGTTTTGTACAAGTATACTGTATATGATACTTTTATAACTTGCATATAATCTGTCATGTGAAGGGGTAAATTATGTTTTTGATTCATTATCTTTACTTAATACTCCCTTTGTCCCTTAAAACTCTACCAACTTTCCATTTTTGGCTGCCCCACTATCTTTGCCACCTTCCCTTTTAACTTTCCATTAATTCTCTCTCCTCTGCACCAACTGCAACTCCACAGTTTTTAGTTTACTATTCCCTGTGCCGGTCAAATTTGGCCAAATTTTAAGGGACGAAGGGAGTATGTATCATTTGGGTTGACTACATCCCTACAGTGACTCATAGGATCTATGCCTTTTATTCTCCACCTTTATCTATTATTATCTTCACACAGTTCGACACTTCTAGTATAGCACAATAGTTAAACTCTTTCCTCTTGCAGAATATTAACAAGGAGCCTTTGGAGTCAAAGCCCAAACCAGCCACGATGGGGCGGGGAAGTAAGGCTGACAGGAGAGGATTGTCATCTCGTTATGCTTCTCAAGGTAAATCTCCAATTTAAGGCTTCTAGCGCAATGTTCCTGGTTTTTGGTCTTTTGTCATAATGTGATTTCCCTTTCAGCACATCTTGGCTCGTATATGCACCAGAAAGTAGAACTTGGGCTAAAATTATAGGTCATATTACATCCAAAATATAATGTTTTGCCACCAACCACAAAATTATAGCTTATCAAGCTCTCATTGAGTATAATTTTGTAAGCATTGAATCCATTTATTTGGTTTCATGGTTAATAAATATGCTCATGTTTTTTGCTTTAAGACGATAGTGATGACATGCTAAGATTATTTATCTGACAATATCCTTCGTATTGTACACCAACATGGCATTATCATGCTGGAGCCTAATCAATGCTGTTTATACACGTTATCTTGTTAGATGGTGGTGGTGGTGGAAGGAACTCTGCTTCTGGAAAAGAAAATGGAAGTATCCATGCTTTAGAGAAGAGCCTTAGCCCAACTTATGTTTCTCCTCATAAGGAGGAGAAGAGCATTATAAGGGGGTATGGATGTAAACTCTTGGTCATTTGTTTGATTAATTGCTAATAACCTTACTGATAACTTATCTCGCATATTTTGCTCCTATATATATCGTTCACTTCCATTAGAGGTGGCAATTTGGGTGGTTTACATTGTAACTTGCGCAAGCATTCACCTTTCATTGGGTGGGCTACATGTATATTATAGGTTACAATGGGAAGTTGAATTTTTACTTGGCCTTGAAGCGCATCATAAATAGGTCGTATTATCCACTGAACTGTAATTTTTTAATTTCAAAATATTATTGTTCTGTTATACAGCATTTTGATCTTAGTTTTATAAATGATTTTAGTTATGATATAAACTGTTAAGATTTTTGTTTATTTTATAGCGGGTCAAATTTAAAAAAACTTCACCAGATATTTCAACCTGTTCTGACCATGCCCACCTGGACACTTGCCTAAATATGCCCTGATTCACTCATCTGCTACCTATAAATCATAATTAATGCATTTTTTTGTCCAGCACATCAGTAGCCTCACCTAATGCGCTCGATGTTGGAACTTCTGCACCAACCACACATACTGTCACTGGCAAAATGGAGGGTCCACCGCAACATGGAGCTCGGGTTGATGCTAACAGAAGCCCTAATGTTAGAAAAGGAATAAGGGGTAATCACGGGCTGGCAATTCAATCTTCATCTGACTCCACTTCATCAGACACTCATTTGTCAGCTTCAGATCCAGTGCTATTACCTTCACAGGATTCAAAGCCCACTGGTGCACTGGGTGGAAGTAAATCAGAAGTTCGAACAGGAAGTGCTCCTGTTGCTGCCATCTTCAACGACACCATCACCACTTCTGGTAAAATAGCTAAAAACTTACTTCAAGTGCATTATAATTGCTCTGATTCGCTTGTTTTGTTTTCGTTATATTTTAATCACTTATGAGTTTTTTTTTGTTTTTTTCCTTGTCATAAAAACATCAATAGAGACTTCTGAGGTGCGGTCAAATGTGCAAGTAAAGAAGCCAACCGCATTCCAGGGGGCTGGGAAGAATAAGCTTGTAGTATCTTCACAGGTGGACTCTAGTCATGCTGGTTCCTCTCTTGGTAGGCCTTCATCTAATTACAACAACCGATCACAAGCAATTGGATCGCAGAAAGGTATTTAGCAAGTTTCTAGTGTTTCTTACAGTCTTCAACTCTTCATTGGTTCACTATGATGCTTCTCTTTGGATAAGGACAAAAACCTCTGAGCCATGTTGGGTGACAATTCCTTAAAGAGTTGGTCTATGTAGAACATCAAAATGACCATTATATTCAATGCAACAAGTTCTAGCGCATTCAGTCTTACATTTTTTAGGGCGGGTTTAAGTGTTGACACCTTAATATATCAGTCACGAGAATAATGATGTTCATTTTATTTTTGTTGATAAATTACGTTCATTAATCTTTTATTGTGATCTTCAAGAACATATATATTGTAATTTTATTCCACTATTGGCCCGCTGTCTAGAAGTGAGTTAAATCCACATAATTTATGTTCAATATTTTTTTTATATGTGATCTTCGAGAATATTTGTATGGTATTTTTTTTATTATAGCCTGCAAGGGAGTTAAATCCACTTTGAGACAACTTGAACAAGAACACCCTGCCAATTATTAAAATGTCTACAAAAGCAGCGCTGAGTAGTTGTTCAGTTTTTATTAGTTGCATGGCTGTACCCAGGAACCAATTGTGAAATGTTACTTGTTAGTTGTGGACTAAATGTCCAATAGTAGAACATGTTCTTTATCTTTTATTTCTCTCTCTCCGTCCAGAAAAGCACGGGTTCTCAACTTCTTAAATTCACTACTGAACCTTTTTGTCTACTAATTATGAAAACATCCTCATTTGATTACTATTTGGGTATAATGGTCTTGTGTTGAAAAGTTATTCTTAGTACTGTTCTAGATTTTGACGTGGCTAGGAAACAATCCAGTATATTCTTGGATTAGGGGCTTATATAAGATATAATAAATGTTTTTATAGTACATTTGTTTAGGTTTGTCATGCTTGTAAAAAATAGATTGGTGCAAATGTGCAATCAATGATAATTGGAAAAATCAGATAAGACAATCTTTTTCCGAATACCACCATTGCATGTCAATTTGGTATTTGCTTATTTCAGGCTTTGACTGTAGGTCTAATGCCTTTATGGGTTATTTGTCTGCTGTGATGTGTTTTGACTTCAATTCTAAATTTACTTTTATCAGCTGGCCCCGCTAAAGAGTGGAAACCAAAGGCTACAAATTCAAACCCCTTGCCCGGATCTGGTACAGTTTCTTCACCTGAAGCTCCTAAAATTTCTGTGGAACCAAACATCATGTTAGAATCTAGACAAGGTGCCTTTGAAACAAAAGAAGAAACATTGGAGCTTCAAAAGAAGCTAGAAGAGGTGCACATTTCAGAAGTTCAGCATGTTATAATCCCAGATCACCTACATGTACCTGAAGCTCAAAAGCTTGGGTTTTTTTTTGGAAGTTTTGATGCAATTTATGGGTCAAGCACAAGTTTTAGCACGGCTGCTGAGAATGAAAAAAGTCCGCCCCATTCTGAAACTTCTGAGGTCATTGAAGGAACAACAACGGGGCAAATTCCAAGGTATCTCACTCCTCTCTCCTCTCTTTAAAAAACAAGTTCTGCTCCATTTACACATTATTTGATAAATGTTTGTACGTCCATCCTGAAAAGAGTCTTGTTTGACTGAAGTACAATTTAAAAAATTGTAATGTACAACTCCTAAAAGTCACCACTCACATTTTTCCCCTTTTTCCAAAAAAAGTCACCACTCACCAGTCCTACTTATATTTGTAGAGTTCTTTACTTCTTTTGTTGATTTAACAAAAAAATATTGTATTTTATCTTGATAGAGACTTTTCTTTTGAAAATAAAGAAGAGCTTTGTTTTTTTAAAACAAAATTCATTTGGGACCCTAGAATATGTGGCTTGGAGAAATTTACCCCCCTTAGGAAGACGTTCAGATACTTGTGATAATACACATTTGCCACATCTATGGGTATTGTTGAGGATATGAAAATGATAAGGAAGGTGAATGAAATTCCCTTGTCTCCTTGGACCTATAGTTGGATGACCACTTTTATAACCCTCTGCAACTGTGTGAACATATAATTTCTGAGCCTCGTGAATTCTCTATTAATTTTTTTTTTCTGAAGTGCATTTAGCTATATATCCATATTCTTTAACATCTATAATATGAGTTAATTACATGATTGGGTGCAGCAATGAAAGTGCGATTCCATCAGTAGATGAAGCAGATTTTTCTGATAATAATCCATTATCATCTTCACATGGGGAAGAGAACCTGCCATCTAAGGTGGGTGAACTATCGCCCTCTGTTCCAGAGTATGATGAACCGAAACCAGAGAATCTGCAAGGAGACCATCAATATTCTGCTGGTCAGACACCACTTAGCTATGGCTTTGTACCACCAATTTTAGGCAGCAGCCAGGTTGGACCTTTTGAAAGCTCCGAATCTCAGGCTCGTGATGCATCTCGGGTTTCTAACTTTGTTGTAAGTGCTTTGCATTCTAGCTTTCACCCCAAGCTTTTTTGTAATTGAAATCTGCACAAGTGCCTTTAACATTGCTCCCTGCTTGTCTGATTCAGCAACCATATGACCCCACAAGCTACTATGCTCAATTGTATCGTTCTGGTGTGGATTGTGATGGCCGCATATCACCTTTTCATTCAACCGGTGTTCATGCTAAGCTCAATGGGAATGTTGCTTTAATGTCTCCGCCAACTCCACAGTCCATTCAAGAGGTGTGAATATCATCTGTGACTGATAGATAAGTTTTTCTTTCCGCTTTCTTTAAGGAGCTTTCATATATTGTGTGGGAAAATAAAACTAGAAATTTGTGAATCAAAGGAATTAGCTGCTAGTATGTAAAAATGATTTGAATGGATTCAATGGAATGCCTTAACATCTTTATAATAAAGCTCGCAAATAAAAAATCACTTGCACAAAAAAGAACTTTGCATGTTATTTGTTTTATAGCTTTTATCTGTATTTCTAATTTTAAACGTGTAAATGATTTCCTATTAAGCTTTTATTATTGATTTTATTATTGACCTGAATTCAAGAGGAAAGTAAATCTCTATAAGAGGAAAAAAACACTAGGCTCCAGTCCATATTTGTGAGACAAGGGAAAATGGTAGTTTAGTTGTGATGAAATGTGGAGCTATTGGAGATGGACATACGGCCCATACCTTTCAATCACATTTATAGCTGCACCTTTAAATATCTAATTCGTTTTATAGAACATGAAATAGAACTATACAAATATGACATGCAAATACACATTTCTTCCGTAACACTTTTGTATTGTAGAAATAGTATATACTCATGTTTCATACCAGCTGGGCAACTTAAGGGTTTGAATTTGGTGTTATTTGTATTTACTTTTTGACACATCAAAATAATCAAATATAAGTTTTTTTTTTGAACACTTGTGCATAGATGTGATTTGCTATAATGGCTTGCAGGGCGGAAGCACACTTGTTTTTTCTGCAGCAGCAACACCACTGGTGACTCAAACTGCTGCGGGGCTTGTCCAAAGTTCAATAGCTGTACCCCCACCACCCCTCCCTGCTGTATTTAGACAACCAACGGGAATGCACCTCCCTCATTTCCCGCACAACTATATTCCTTATGGCCACTATTTTTCTCCATTTTATCCTCCTCCAGCGATCCATCAATTCTTTAGCAGTGGTGCATTTCCTCAGCAACCCCCTGCTGGCAGTGTGTATCAGCAGCCTCCTCCTCCAGGATCAATTGCCAAATATTCACTCTCTCAATATAAACAACAGCAGCAGCAGGGGGGAGGTAATGCTCCCCCAAACCCTCCAACTTATATAGGACTTCCAGGCAGCTATGGACCGTATGCCTCTGCTACTACCAATTACAATCCCACTTCAACACCCGTGGCTGGTAATCCGACATCAACTGATGACCGTTCTGCTTCACAGTTCAAGGAGAATAATAACGTTTATGCCGGTAGTCAACAGGTTTGTTTTCATTCGTATTTGTACCAATTTATGTTATATGTGTGCAAATTGAAAAAAATTTGGTACCTACTCTTTTTATCAGTAAAAATGAACGCACAGGTTCTAATGCAACCATTGTGTGATTGGGTAGAGACAAGGGCAAGAGAAATAGTAGAGAAACGTATAAGGTCTCTTGTTTGGTTCAGAAAGAAATGGAAAGGTGATGAATCAGAAATAAATGTTTTGCATCAATTTTATTTCTAGTCCCTCATGGAGAGATGCATCCCTTCTCAACTTCTGCCTACATAGTGTACTTGCTTCTCTACTATTTCTCTCTTGTCCATCTTAACTGTTGTTGTCAAAACCAAACAAAGGTTAAATGAATCCCAAAATGATGATAATAATTTGATCTTGAATCAAACGGGTGGATACAATAGCCATGGATGGGTACCTTTTTGTGGCACATGCAAACAGATGAATGCATTTTTAGTTTTTGAGATCTTTTGATATTTTTTTTTTAATTTTGTGGCAGACCGAAGGATTGGGTGTTTGGATAAGTGCAGCAGGTCGTGATATGTCTGGCTTGCATGCTAGTTCATTCTATAATCTTCCACTGCAGGGTCAAGTGACATTTGCACCAACACAGGCCGGGCATGGAACCTTTGCTGCAGGTATTTACCATCCAACCCCGCCAGTGACAACCCCAACTGGTCACCCACTTTTGCAGCATTCCCAAAACATGACCATTCCCAATGATATGGTGGGGCCTACAGCCAACGTCTATCAGCAGCAGCCACAGCAGCAGCATTCGCAGATTAATTGGCCAAGCAGCTATTAAAAATAGAGGTTCCCTTGGATTTTTTTTTGCAATTGGCATTGACTTTTAGGCAAGGAGGAGACTGAGGTCGAAGAAAAAAATGGTGAAAGAGGCATGAAGAAAACATATTTAAAAGATTTAAAAAGAAAAGGTCTAAATAGTATTTGGGATTGCCTGGTTTGTGATAGTAGTTCGGCAAGGGTTAGCGATCCTCCTTAAAGAGATGGTGCCAATTGTAAATTAGTTGAGCAGTTCCTTGTTGAATTGTTTTGCCTTTCATCACATAGTTTAGTCCCTTTTAAGTATGCAGCTTATTAGCGCTAGGAAAGTTTCTATATTTTGCTTTCCTACCCTTTTGGAAGGTTAAGAACTCTCTGGAAAGCAGCAAGGTTTTGGGTGGGCTTTAGAGGAGTTTCTGTTACCTGTTTGGTTTTCTTGTAAAGTTAATTTTGACGGCCAGAAAGGGTGTACTCTGTTGTAATTGGTGATCGGTAAAGCAAAAAAACTGTGGAATTAATTATATTTCACATTGATTTTTTTCCTAGACGGATTATAGCTTTAGTTTTAGTTTTGGAGTACTTGGCAAGTTAATAGTCCCTTGCTGGTATTTGTTGAATGAAATGTAAATACAATAGGGCATGTTTTGTACTTATGGAGTATATTTATTTTTGAAAAGAACTTATGGAGTACATTTTATTTGTGCATTAAAACGTACGTAGTAAAAACTTAGAATTTGGCAGCATGCCCTTCTGAAGTAAAATAGAAAACCCATATGGCCATATGGGCGCCATCTTGCTTATATTCACCCCAAACATGCTCCGAATCACCTTACAAGTTACAATTCCAACAAACCAAAATAATTCACGAGTTCACGCCATGTCTAATCAAAATTAAATTGAACCTGACTCAAGTAGTAGTAGGGATGGACTCGGGCTGGTTGGCCCGGCCCGGAACCGGACCGGCCCGCTAATGTGTGGGCCCGGACTGGCCCGGTGAACCGGTTGGTGCCCGGTTCGGGCCACCCGGCCCGGTGGAAAAGCGGTCCGGGCCTCAACTGTCAAAATTTTGTCAAAATTAAAAATTGTTTTTATTTAAAAATGGTCAAGGCTCTAATAGCCGTTGGGAGAGCTCCCAAACGGCTCTATAGCCGTTGGGAGCATAGGAGGGGGGGGGGGGGTCTGGGGGCTTAGGGGGTGGGGTGGGGTGGGGGTGGGGTATAAAAAAAAACCTATTTATACTCCTATTTTCTATACATTTTTTACACCTCTACTTTTACAACTCTTCCTACTCTCTAATTCTCTATTCTCTCAATCTCTCATATTCAATCATCTTCATTCTTCATCTTCTCCAAATTCTTTCTAAATATATATAATTTATATAATTATTATATCTACTTATATACGAAGTATTAATTATCTACTTATAAATATATATTTATACACATTCATATTATAATTCTTTACACATTATATATACTATATATAGTTATACACATTCATATTTACTTGATATTTAGTTATTATCCATACTATTGTTATTTACTTATATTTACATATTACATTTAGTTAATATATACTTATATATATTTAAGTATTAAGTATAAGTGTATTACTCATCTTATAGTAATATACTTATATATTATATGCTATACACATTATATTATATATGAGGACTTTTCATGTCCAGCCGGCCTGACGGGAACCGCCGTCCGGCCGAGGGCATTTCAGGCACTTCCCGATGGAATTTTTTGATGAATTTTTTTGAGCATGTTCTTCATGAAGTCTAGTTTATCCATACCAAATTTCAGCTCAAAATTCGATCGGAAAGGCATTCAAATAATTTCTTGAAGTTAACTGGGCAGTTCATACATATAAACTGCCCAGTTAACTTCACAAAATTATTTGAATGCCTTCCCGATCGAATTTTGAGCTAAAATTTGGTATGGATAAACTAGACTTCATGAAGAACATGCTCAAAAAATTTCATCAAAAAATTCCACCGGGAAGTGCCCGAAATGCCCTCGGCCGGACGGCGGTTCCCGTCAGGCCGGCTGGACAGGAAGACTACTCTATTATATATTACTTATAATATATTTACACATTATATATACTATATATACTTGTACACATTCATATTTATTTGATATTTAGTTATTATCCATACTATTTTTATTTACTTATATTTACATATTACATTTAGTTAATATATACTTATATATATATATATATATTAAAGTATTAATTATAAGTGTATTACTCATCTTATAGTAATATATTATATACTATACACATTATATTATATATTACTTATAATATATTTACACATTATATATACTATATATACTTATACACATTCATATTTACTTGATATTTAGTTTTTATCCATACTATTGTTATTTACTTATATTTACATATTACATTTAGTTAATATATACTTATATATATATATATATATATTAAAGTATTAAGTATAAGTGTATTACTCATCTTATAGTAATATACTTATATATTATATACTATAAACATTATATTATATATTACTTATAATATATTTACACATCATATATACTATATATACTTATACACATTCATATTTATTTATTAAAGTAGTTAATTGTTAGACTTGTCATTTATCTATTAAATTAGTTAATTGTTACATTTCTTTACATTTCTCTTTAAAGAAAAAAAAATAGTTACTTGTTACATATCATTTATCATTTAACATTAGTTAAACTAGTTATTTATTTAATTGCTACATTCCGCATTAAAGTAAAAAAAGTAATAAATCTTTACATTTGTCATATTAATATTAGTTAAAGTAGTTAATTGTTACATTTGTCATATTAATATTAGTTAATTGCTACATTGCTCATTAAAGTAAAAAAACTAGTTAATTTTTACATTTGTCATATTAATATTAGTTAAACTAGTTAATTGTTACATTTCTCATATTAATAGTAGTTACTTGCTACATTTCTCATTTAAGTAAAAAAAGTAGTAAATTTTTACATTTGTCAACTAGATATTAGTTAAACTAGTTAATTGTTACATTTGTCATATTAATATTAGTTAAAATATACATTTCTCATTAAGGTAAAACGAAGTAGTAAATTTTTACATTTGTCATTTTAAAAACTAGTTAAAGTAGTTAATTGTTACATTTGCCATATTAATATTAGTTAATTGCTACATTGCTCATTAAAGTAAAAAAAAAAAACTAGTTAATTTTTACATTTGTCATATTAATATTAGTTAGACTAGTTAATAGTTACATTTCTCATATTAATATTAGTTACTTGCTACATTTCTCATTAAAGTTAAAAAAACTAGTTAATTTTTACATTTGTCATATTAATATTAGTTAAGCTCATATAAAATATTTGATATCATTTAATATTTGTTCAATTTTAAAGATAGAGCGTGGTAGACATTCTGTAGATGTAGGTAATCTCCAATGCAACCACAAGAGGGAGATTGCGTCGACTTGTCATACTTCACGCAAAGGCAAAGGTAAAGTGCGGGCCGAGTCTTCTTTTCAAAGTCGAGATGACTTTGAAACGGATTACCAACGGAGAGATGATATGATGATGTCCGACGAGCATCTACAAAACCTATTGTCCCAAAATGATCCACGCTTTGCACAAGAACAACACATCCCGACAACCATTGATGAAGAGGAGCTCGAGGATGATGGTGCGGAGGAGGACGCGGGGGGCGAGGGGACTCACGGCACCCCGGATGCTGAGCAAGAGTTGGAGGACGAGGGTGGTTCAACCCAAACTGGTAAGAAATCTAAATCTCCTATTATTGAAAACAATTTTACAAAAAGGAAAGACAAAAATACCGAAAAATGGTACACAAGTTGCAATCATTGCGACAAAGAGTATAGCTTGGGAACTTCTGGCGGATACGGGAGTCTGACAAGGCATCTTAAGTCTGCCCATGTTGTGGAGTATGCGAAAATAGACAAGGGCAAGGGGAAACAAACACAAATATCGAGGTTTGCAAATTCTCAACCCTTTGGTAATTTCTCCTATGATGATAAAAAACATTTGACTGGTATGTCTCATTTAATTGTTGAAGAAAATTCACCCTATATTTTTTCCGAAAGTCTTGCTTTAAGAGATTATGCTTAAGGTACTTTAAATCCTCAATTTAGAAATTATAGTCGCAAAACGATTAAAAAAGAAGTTATAAGGCAATATAACTTCGAAAAAAGAAAATTTACAAACATTTTTCGCAAACTTTAATGGACGTGTTAGTATTTGTAGCGATATATGGGAGGATACTTATCATCATTTATATTATTTGGGTCTTACTGCACATTATATTGATGATGATTAGAATATGCATAAACGTGTTCTTGCTTTTCGTGAATTCAATGATCGTCATACTGCTGATAATATTTATATTCTCATTGAGCGTATTTTAATCGAGTATAATTTGCTTGATAAGGTGTTTGCTGTAGGTTTTGATAATGCTAGTAATAATACTGCTGCTATACCTAGATTGCGTGAATTGTGTGGTGCTTCTACATTGATGGGTATGTTTTTTCATCAACGTTGTGTATGTCATATTCTAAATTTGTGTGCACAAGATGGATTAGCGGCATTAGGAAATGATTTGGAGGTAGTGAAGGGGGGAATTAAATTGATTTGGGCTAACACTCCACTAAAAATGCAATGACGGCAATATTTGAAGGAAAGACGTGTCAATTATTGTGCTTTTCCTAAAGATTTGTCTATTCGTTGGAATAGTACTTATAACTTAATTCAAGTACTTATTAGATATAAAGAACATTTTCCTGCTTTTTTAAGACAAACTTGTAACTATATTATAAACCCGGCTGACATCGACACTTGTGAAAAAATGGTTAATGTTTTGGTATATTTTAATAACACAACTCAAACTTTTAGTCATGTTTATAAACCTACTGCAAACGAATTTTTTGTTGAACCTGTTAATCTCGCCGACGCTTTTTTAGAATTTTCTGATGCCGCTTACGTTAGTTATTTTTGTGATTTCATGAAACAAAAGTTTTTAAAATATTATTCACATGTTCCGCATATATATGGTATTGCATTTGTTCTTGATCCTCGTCATAAACTTGCCTCGTTGCCAAGTTGTATAGATTACTATTATGCTTGTTTTTTTCCAACTCAAGAGTTCGATGATAATCCCATCGACCCTAAACAAGAATACAACGAGGTTAGTAATTTATTTCATCAATTGTATAATGAATTTCATGCACAGTATGGTAATGCACCCCTCCCATGCCGCGAACATTTTCTTCATCTAAAGGAAAATCACTTTTAAAATCTGCATTTGGTTCTCTTATGAAAAAAAGTAGAGCAACTCCCTCTACTGAACAAAGCTCAGTTAACGAGCTTTCTTTGTATCTAACATTGAATGTTGATTATGAAGTTGGGGATGACTTTGACGTTCTTAAGTGGTGGAAGGAAAATGAAAGAACGTTCCCGGTTTTATCAAAGATGGCTAAGCAAGTGCTAGCAATGCTGATATCAACAGTTGCCGTGGAACTCAAGAAATGACCATCGCTCCCACCCGCCACTTTATGGAGGAAACAACCACCAAAGGCGGAGATTCCGATTGATTTTTTATTACAAAATGTATTACATTTTTTAAAGGGAAAATGGAAACTATTAATCCAACCTTTTAGCGGTCTTCTTTCAATAATCCCACCTTTTGATTATTCATGAATAATCCAACCTTTGCACCTCATCTTCATTCACTGGTCCCTGACCGGTTGATGACCTGCTATTCCAAGCTATTTTCTTATCTTTGCAAATCATTATACCATAAATCTCATCTTTCACAAAGATAATATTTTGGAGAGATAAGAAAATAACTTGGAATAGTAGGTCATTAACCGACCAGGGACCAATGAATGAAGATGAGGTGCAAAGGTTGGATTATTCATGAATAATCAAAAGGTGGGATTATTGAAAGAATACCGCTAAAAAGTTGGATTATTAGTTTCCATTTTCCCTTTTTTTAAATGCATCCTAATTCTCAATTGTACTTCTTATTTGAAATAAATATACTTGAATTATTGTTTTCTCAATTCTCAAATGTACTTCCTATTTCAAATAAATGCACTTGAATTTTGTTTTTAATAAGAATTATTATAATAATATAATATATAATTTTTTAAAAAAAATTATAAGGCCCGGCCCGGCGGGCGGCCCGGCCCGTGAACCGGGCGGGTGACCCGGCCCGAACCGGACCCGGGTTTACCCGGGCCGGTTCCGGGCCTCCCAAACCTTGAACCGAGGCCTGGCCGGTTCAAGGCCCAAACCGGGCCCGGCCCGAACCGAGTCCATCCCTTAGTAGTAGGGTTCAGTTCTCGATTTCACGATTTTAAAAATAGTCCTTACAAAAAACCAAATCGGTAATAATGCCAACAATTCACTTCAAAGACTCGTTCTTATCTTATCTGAAATCCAACCATTATTCGTATAATAATGCCACACAAATTACACTTAACAAATTATACACATGCTCATGTATCCAGCTCGGTGGTCATCGACTCACTCACCCATATGAGAGATCTTGAGTTCGAAACACCCATATGAGAGATCTTGAGTTCGAAACTCCATTGAATCAATTTCAGCCCCATAGCTAGGATACTCTAGTTTTTTTCATCCTGCCACCAATAAATTTAAGCCCCATAGTTAGTTTCTTTTCGAGCAAAATATATCTTTTGGAATATGTATTTTCCGGACCAGTTAACTTGCAAAAATCATTTGATGACCTTCCCGATTGAATTGTTTGCTGAAATTTGATATGGATGAACTAGACTTGATGAGGAACATACACAAAAAATTTGAGCAAAAAATACCACCGGAAAGCCCCCCAAAAGGAGGAGGCCGGACGGCGCTCCGGTCAGGAATTTCCTGACCGGAAGATTACTACACACACACACAGGAATATTCTTGTCCGGAATTTCCGGACAGGAACCCCCGTCCGGCCTCCTCCATTTGGGGGCCTTCCCGGTAGTATTTTTTGCTTAAATTTTTTGTGTATGTTTCTCATCAAATCTAGTTCACCCATACCAAATTTCAGCAAAAAATTCAATCGAGAAGGTTGTTAAATGATTTTTTCAAGTTAACTGGTCCGGAGTATATATATATATATATATATATATATATATATATATATGGGAACTCTTCCAGTAAGGTATACCTTACCGGAGCCTCCATGCGGCCTCCACGTTTTGAGGGCCTTCCCGGTGGAATTTTTCGATGAAATTTTTTGAGCATGTTTTTCATCAAGTCTAGTACATCCATACCAAATTTCAGAAAAAAGTTCAATCGGGAAGGCAGTCAAATGATTTTTGGAAGATAATTGCATCCTTTATGTACATATAAACGCAGTTATCTTCCAAAAATCGTTTGGCTGCCTTCCCAATTGAATTGTTTGCTGAAATTTGGTATGGATGTACTAGACTTGATGACGAACATGCTCAAAAAATTTCATCGAAAAATTCCACCAGGAAGGCCCTCAAAATGTGGAGGCCGCACGGCGGCTCCGGTAAGGTATACCTTACCGGAAAGATTTCCTATATATATATATATATATATATATATATATATATATATATATATATATATATATATATATATATATATATATATATATATATATATATATATATATATATTCAAAAAAGATCAGGTCCAGCCCTCCCCGGTCCAGCCGCCGTCCGAACTCCGCCATTTGGGGCGGTTCCCGGGTGGAATTTTTTGATGAATTTTTTTGAGCATGTTCTTCATCAAGTCTAGTTTGTCCATACCAAATTTCAGCTCAAAATTCGACCGGGAAGGCATTCAAATCATTTTTTGAAGTTGACTGCATTTTTATATGTATAACTTAATATTATCATTGAATATGTAAGTAAATTTATCAAGATCTCTAAATTATACAAAAATGTTAATCATTTTCATTTACTTGACAATTAAATTAATTCTGAGAGAATTTTGTGCATGGATAATTATAGGGAAAAATAATTAAAATACTCCAATCTTTGAATAAGTGTGAGATAAAGACCCCAAACTTTTATATGTAATTTAAATACCCCAAACTTTATATAAAAAGTTGTTTTAGCACCATGACCATATATTATTTTTTTTCAAAAATGTAAATTTATGATGTTAATTGCATAATTTAAAATAGAAAAAATAAAAATGATGCAATTGTATAGAGTGGGGGTAGTATTATTTATTTTATAATGAAAGTTAAGAATGTTAATTGTATCTTCATGAATGCTAAAATATTTTAATTTATGAAATTAACAACAAAAACTAACATTTTTTGAAGAAATTATATATGACCATGGTGCTAAAATAATTTTTTATATAAAATTTGGGATATTTAAATTACATATACAAGTTTGGGATACTTAACTCACACCCCTTCAAAATTTGGGATATTTTAATTATTTTTTCCATAATTATAAAACGAGAGTTTGACGCACTTTTCAATACAAATGACTAATGCAACAAATTTATATATGGCAAGGACTTTGGTACATTAAACCATGCTACACAGTACACACATTAGATTTTTAAATTATTTCTCTCTTTATTACTCCCTCCGTAACTTAAAAATCTTCCCACTTTCCTTTTTCGTCCGTAACAAAAAAATCTTCCCATTTCTAAATCTTCCCATCATACCCTCAATAATTCTTAAAATAATACACTATTACAACTACTTTTTTGGATTTATCCTACATTCCACCACATTATTCCACTATTTTCCCATCATACCCTCAATAATTCATATCATTGGCCCGGCCCGGCCCGCCACTGTACGGGTCCAACCCGACCGGCCCGAGGCCGGTCTGACTGGCCCGGGACCCGGCCCGGCCCGCCACTGTACGGGTCCAACCCGACCCGGCCCGGCCGGCCCGCCACTGTACGGGTCCGACCCGCCCCGCCCCGTTGGATCGGTAACGGTACCGGGCCTAGGCCCGACCCGGGGGGATTAATTGGGGCGGTTCCGGAACTGCATATTTGAGGACCAGCCCGGCCGGTTCGGGCCCGGTCCAGGCCTTATTTTTTTGGGGGGGGGGGGGGGTTGGGCCTATGGTAGCTAGGCTGGATGTTTTGGAGGGGTTTGGGGGGTGAGGGGTGGAATATATAAGAAAACCGAAAAAAAATGAACCAGCCCGGCCCAACCCGGAACTGGCCCGGCCCGATACCAGTAGACTCCCGGGCTGGTCCTGGGCCTTACCCAAAAAATTCCAAGCCCGGTCGGGCCCGACTGGGAACAGAAACCGAGTCTGGCCCGGTCCATCCCTAGGAGGGAGGGGAGGAATGGGATGGGACGGGATGAAGAACCGATATAAGAAAAGTCCACGGAAATCTTTGGTGAGGAGAAGAGACAATTGCAGAGAATTTTTGCACTAAAAATGAGTTAAAAGCCCACGAAAATCCATGATTTTAGAAGTCAATAAGAATGAACGGAAATTTGAATACGCCTAAACTTTTATAGACTTTTAAAAGTCCACATTGAATACACCTAGACTTTTGTGGACTTTTAAAAGTCCACATTGAATACACCTAAACTTTTAAAATCCATGAACTTTTAAAATTTTGCCACTAAATCCTAATACAATACACCCCTTTTAATCTACCTACTTTTGAAATAGGAAGATTCTAAAAAACATTTGAACTAGTGTGAGACTGTGAGTGCGTGACTAGTGACCAAGGACATACTTGTCCAGCTAAGACCCAAAAAAGAAAAAAGAAGTGCGCAGAGCCGAGGCGATCCAGGTTTTTCTCTTTTTCTCCGCTCCATCTTCAGTCTTAGCTGCTTCAACTTCCAACTTCCTCAAATTTTCGCAGACAGAAATTGTGTGTCTTGTTTCGATCATTCAGATATGAAACGCATTTGGTAGTTTCTTAACCCCAAATGAATATGAGATAGTGGGATTCCAAATCTGAAACAGATCTTTAATTAGACCCATTTTCGACCCGTTTTTCTGAATAATTCTTATTTATCAGTTTGTTCTTCTCCTATTACTGCATCAAAATGTTTGTATTTTAATTTTCTTTCGTTTCTCCGATATTGCTGTGTTGTAGGCCTTATTCATATTTCAATTCTGTTGATTTATTGATTTGGGTCCTAGATTGTGGTTTCTGGGGGTGAAAGGAATGATGGGTCGGTCTTCGGGTTGGGCTCCAAGAAATGCGGGTTTTAGGGCGGAGAGTTTAGGTCAGGATGCACTGTCTATGATGAGGAACCTGGGTTTCACTGTATTTGTATTTGGGGTGTTGATTTTCACTATAATTGCGGCTACTTATCAACCTGAAGACCCACTGTTTCATCCTTCTACTAAGATGACTAACTTTCTCACATCAAAATCAAATGCCACATTCAAATCTGATGACACCGTGGTCAAGACCGGGGAAGACTTCATCGGTCCCAACCAGACTGCATTTTCCAGTTTTATTAACCTTACTGATGTTGATATCGCAATGCCCGTTACCGAGACTGGAAATGATCTCGAGTGCCAAGGGAAAACTGATGAACCGATTAACTGTCGGGACCCAGACGTGTTCCATTTATTGATGAAAGCCACTATTGAGAAATTCAAGGATGTACACTTTTACAAGTTCGGGAAGCCTGTCCCTGGCTCGGACCGAAGCTCCTGCCACATGGCATGGAGGTTTAGGCCCAAGGAGGGAAAGACCGCTGCGTTTTATAAAGACTACAGGAATTTCGTGATCTCCAGGTCAGAGAATTGCACACTTAGTGTGGTCGGGATTGGGGAATACCATTCTGGAGGGAATGCCAGGAAGAGAAAAAGAAATCACAAGGTGGGAGTGCCGGATAAAACAGGGAAGTCGGATGAAGGGTTTGAGAAGGCGCCGAGTGAGACGGTGGGCCAGGGAGCTGCCATTGCTCTTCCCGTAGTGGGGGAAGCCGTGAACGACTCCCTCCCGATTGTGGAATCAGAGAGCTCATTTGGCCGGGGAAAGTATTTGGTTTATTCCGGCAGCGGTGATAGGTGCAAGAGCATGAACCATTATCTGTGGAGCTTCATGTGTGCACTGGGTGAAGCCCAGTTTTTGAATCGGACCTTCGTAATGGACCTAAGCATATGTTTAAACAAGATGTATACCTCGTCTGGACAAGATGAGGAAGGTAAAGATTTCAGATTTTATTTTGACTTCGAGCATTTAAAGGATTCAGCTTCCGTCCTTGACCAGACTCAGTTTTGGGAAGACTGGAACAAGTGGCACCAGAAAGACCGGCTGACTCTCCACCTAGTCGAGGACTTTAGGGTTACCCCGATGAAGTTATCCAGTGTAAAAGATAGTTTAATCGTGAGGAAATTCGGAAACGTGGAACCAGATAATTACTGGTATAGGGTGTGTGAGGGTGAGACGGAGTCGATTGTTCAACGCCCATGGCACTTGATTTGGAAGTCAAGGAGGTTAATGGACATAGTTTCTGCAATCGCGTCGAGGTTGAATTGGGACTATGATTCTGTCCATGTCGTGAGAGGCGAAAAGGCCCGAAACAAGGAATTGTGGCCTAATCTTGGACGGGACACCTTGCCGGAGGCCATCATGTCATCATTGAAGGACAAGATTGAAGAAGGGAGGAACCTATATGTGGCGACCGATGAGAGCGACGTGTCATTTTTCAACCCTCTGAAGGACAAGTACTCGACCCATTTTCTAGACGAGTACAAAGACCTTTGGGATGAGAACAGTGAGTGGTGGTCGGAGACGGCGAAGCTTAACAGTGGGAATCCCGTGGAGTTTGACGGGTACATGAGAGTGTCTGTCGATACGGAGGTTTTCATGAGGGGTAAGAAACAGGTGGAGACGTTTAACGATCTGACTAAGGATTGCAAGGATGGGATTAACACGTGCTGATTTCCATGTTTAGGGAAAATTTTGCTTTCTGTTTGGCAGTACAAAAGCGCATCTGGAGCCGCTTTCTTCCTTCTCAATCAGGGGAAGAAAAATAAGAAGGAAAAGTTTAGAGTATTTCCTTTTTCGCATTGTGCTGTTTGTAGTTTGTACGACTTATAATTTCCCTTAGGTGATTAGCACATAATTTGTCGACTTTTTTGTTTATATCTCATCATTATCGTTTTGTTTGAGACATAAACTTGGTCTTCCATTTTTATTTTGTTGACGGGTTGTAAGTTTGTAACACTTCTCACGAGTTTTTTAATGTTTAAAAAGCATTTCATAATAATAATGACAAATTTGGGGAAGTTTTTTCTTTCTTTCAGAAGTAAAAACAGAGATAAAATTAGTGAATAATTGTATGTAGGGATGGACTGGGCCGGGCCGAACCGGCCCGGAACCGGACCGGCCCGCTACTGTGCGGGCCCGAACCGGACCGGGCCCGGTTGGCCGGTTCCGGGCTTTTAGCCCGTTTTGGCGGGTCGGGCGGGCCGGTTCCGGGCCCTGTTTTTGTTGAACCGGCCCGGGCGGTTCGGGCCGGGCCCGGTTCATTTTTTTTTTTTTTTTTGGTTTTTTCAATTTTTTTTCTTTTCCTAGGGTAGGGCTGGGTGTTTTAGGGAGGTTTGGGGCGTGGGGGTGAGGGGGGGGGGTAGGGAGATAACAAGAAAGTCAAAAAAAAAAAAAAAAAAAAAAACATTGAACCGGGCCCGGCCCGGCCCGGCCCGGTTAGGCCCGGACCCGGTATCAACCCGGGCCGGTTCCGGGCCCATGTAACCCGAAAAAAAAGCCCGCCCGGGCCCGGCCCGGAACCGGAACCGGCCCGGCCCGGGTCCATCCCTAATTGTATGCAAAGAGAGCAAGAGACTTCATTTTCGGGACGTGGCCTGTGGCATAACTCGTTAATGAATAATGAATGCTAAAGCAAAAAGGGAAACAACAGTAATAATTTCCACATGTCTAACGTAAGGAAATGTACAATACGTAAGGAAATGCACAATACGTTATTCCATGGAATAACAGTAATAATTTCCACATGTACGTAAATAACGTATTGTGCTTTTCCTTGTGATAGGACACTAAACATAGTGATTGGTGACACAATTTTAAATTGTTCTCATTATTTCTTCTAACAGTCTAAGAATGGCATTCAACCTAAAGCATTGTCAGTTTGTCACCGTGTTTTTAAAGAACACACACTCTTAAGTTATTTTAATTAATTAATTAATTAATACAATTAATTAGCACTGTAAATTTAATACCACCTATCCAAACTAGTTGGGATTAAAGTACTGATGATGATGATGATGACCCGTCACTCCTAAGTCCTGTGGAAAATGTGCCCACACGATAACCAGTTTATCTTAGAATCCGGTTCAAACTCAGCGAAGCACACACAACAGCAGTCAGCAGCAACCAGGTTTTTGTTCTTCTGCACCCGAAATGCAAACCAAGTCATAATGGATTGTTGGGGTTTGGCTCCAGAATTCTTCCATGTCGGACTCCGGGGGAGAAGCCTGAGATTCTACAATTGTGTCTTCCATGGTGGTGATGGGGTACTCTTCCCGTGGTGCTTCTATACAAATGCCTATAACATTGAGGAATGAGGATAGATTGGGCCAATTCCTTGACGGTGGATATAGAGATGGCCGTGTTGAAAAGGATTTTACACATACAGCTCCACCATCTACTGGGTTAAGATACGGTGAGAGACCCATATTTGAATTTCAACCTATTAATTGCAGCAAACAAAAACTAGAAGCAAATCAATGAATAAGAAAAAATGGTCGGTAAAAAAGCACAAGCACTATATACAAAAAAAATCACCTGATTGGATTGCACATTGGCTAGAGTAGATATATATTTAAAAGAACTTCAAACTATATTCTGGAAAGCAAACATCAAATTATATCAAACAGAAGTTTACCATGAACCAAAACCCCTCTCAAGAAGCAAAAGAACTATTTACTTTCAAGATATAATTTATTTTATTTACACATCATACCCTGATTTTATAGATAACTAAAACACACATGCAGAAAGAAAGAGATGAAAGCTCGCATTTTTGTGCAAAACAGAACAAATTCATAACGAAAAAAAACCTTTGATTCAAGATACATGAAAGAAAGTGCTCTTCTCTTCCAATTATGTGCGTGTATGTATAAAGAAAATACCCAGAAGAAAGAAAAACTCATAAAACTCACCAATTACATCAAGTGCAAAAGAGATGACTGAAAATTCAGATAAGAGAATAGAGCACACTACTTCCCATGTGAAACTCAAAGCAATAAAACAAGCTTTAAGACCACACAATGTAAAAGCAAAGGTTTGTGAGAATCCCACAAAAGCGGGGGGAAAACAAAAGAAAAAGCACATGAGGAAGCAATAAATTGAGTGGTCGGCATTAGGTAAGTATAGTAGGAAACTTGGAAGAGAGGGCTAGCTCGCTTTCTAAATAAAATATGACACCACATCCCTGAGGCTCACTAGAACTGACCAGACAGTAATTTGATGGAAAGAGAGTGAGTTTCCATCCAAGTCATTTCTTGAAGTTGCACCCTCTTCCGACCAGGTGAGCTACGCCCCTCGATGCTTAGCTCGCTTACTCAGCACAACACGAGTGGGATACTATGGTTTACTGTATGAGCAGACCAACAAGAGTTTTTTTGGAGAAGATACACAGCTTCAGAGCTTCCTAAAGCTTTAAATAAAATTAAGATAAAAGATATTTTGAAAAAAATAATACCAAGAAGTATTGACAACAAGAACATGATTTTGATGAGATCTTTATTTTTTTTTATTGATATACTCCCCCCGTCCCTTAAAATTTTGTCAAGTTTGACAGGCACGACCCACGAGGATTAATAAAGTAAAAACTGTATGATTAAGGTTTGTGCAAAGTAGAGAGAAATAACCGGAACCACAAATTCTTTACTTAAGAGGGAAAGTGGCAAAATTAGTGTGACAACAAAAAAAGGCAAGTTGACAAAGTTTTAAGGGACGGAAGAAGTATTAAAATTACATTTTTTTCTTGATTTTTTTTATAAATCTCACGGATAAAATATGATTAAAATTACAATGTGTCTACCTTTATGATCACTAGGGCGTAGGCATGGACCCGGGTCGGTCCAGTCCCGGTTCCGGGCCGAGACCACCCGGTCCCTGCAAAACATGGTCAAGTCTTGGTCCGACCCGTGTAATTCCCGCATAGAATTGGACCCGGTTCCGTACTGGGCTGGACCGCCGAACCGGGTCCATGCCTACCAAGGCGTAAGAATTGTAAATAATAACATTAATCAAAAGTGACTAAGTCGCATTTTTAACTTTTATGCTCATTGTGGTTCTAAATCATTTTTACTTTACCTATTCAATATCAACTACATAAATTCACTTTTCTTAATAACCACAGCTCCTCCTCATGTCCCAATGTTAGTGGGACGGAGGTAGTAATATACTTCCTCCATACCAAGTTGAGTCGCAAAAATGACTTTTTGACGTCAAACAAATTCATTTTATACACTTAATTAGGATATTAATTCTTACTTAAATTTTAATTTGGACTTCCCAACTTTATTGAAATTTTAATGTACTTCTGAATATGTAAATTGTACTTATTAAAATTGAATTAATTGTCAATAGGGACGATTTAACTTTAACATTAGTCGACCAAAAAATGTTAACTTTGCAAAACAATTTGGGACGGAGGTAGTTAATATTATTTCTAAAATATATATTTTTTAAATTTATTTTGTAATTCAATTATAAAATATGATATTTTTAGATTTATTTTGTAATTCAGTTATAAAATATGATTTTTTTTAATGAGTTAAACTTATTAATGTTCTCACTTAATTACGTCGCTTAGAACATTAATACACTCATTTTATGCTCGTATAAGTTTATCTTCTTAAATTAATATAAGGTGTCTTCTTATAATAAAATATAATAAATGTATAAAGCACATTTTTTTTTATTCAAGCGTTCAACCCAAATTGGAAACTGTATTGTACATAACGGGAACTGGGAAGGATAAAGCACATTTCCCTCCCAATTTTATTTTATATATATGATTTCTTTTTATTTCATTTTGTTCTAACAATTGTTTTGTATGTTTCCTTGACTTCATTGAATACTTCAATGCCGACATGGTATAAAAACATATAGTTTTGTTCAACCTGATTTTTCTGCTTATAAATTCCTCATTTCAGTCTAAAAAAACAAGAACATCATACCAAGAAAGACTAGAAAGATTCACATCTAAACAAACTAAAAAAATAGACTAGCTGTCACCTTGCAGCCAAGAACATTAGACGGGGTAAGAATACACTCAATGATGCTAGAAAGATTGAGATCAGACCCGAAAGATTGAAATCAACGCAATGTAAATCAACACACTGCATCCTATAACATAAAGGATTAAAATCAACGCAATGTAAATCTTCAGAGTAAATCAACACAATCCTATATAGAAGAGACAGGAGGAAATATAAGATAAAGCAATGCAATCCTATCAGAAGTCCATGACAGTGCTACAATCCTATGACATCCTAAAGATATAACTATTATTGCAAACAATGCTAAGGTTCCCAAGCTAACTTTGGAATCACAATAAAACAGAGGAGAACTAAAAATGTAACACTGATTTTATTTGGTTCTAAGAAAGAGGAACAAAAATGAGGTAGCAACGGCCATGAAGTTACTAACAAAACAACACATAGCAGAACACAGTTAATCTCAATGGAAAAATGAAGTAAGTTACAAGGGTCTACTTGGATTGGGCTTCATTTCATGTATAACAAGACATCAGAGTATTAACACTGGATACTATGGTTTGTAATAGAAAAACGGAATGATAACATATATACTGATACAAATTAAAATATAATCGAATGCAACCATAGATAGTAGCAGCGAAAAGAAAATAACCTTACACAGTGCAATAATCCTGCAAAAGCTGCCTAGCAAGGTCCAAAGCCCCACTTGCCTTATAAATATGGTGAAGGTTGTACGCTGCTTCCCTACGAAGGTTGCAATAACCAGCCGACTTTTCGGTTCGGTGTGCATGCTGTTGACTTTCATCATATCCAAACCTTGGAAATGGGCAATCCTTCACAGGAGTCCTTAGCACCTCTTCATAGTAAGAAGCTGCAATAGTGACGAGCCCCACAAGCTGATATGCCCGTGCTATGTTGTACAAGGCTTCTTGGCGGATATCGCTCTCCTTCTCAGATAGCCTCAAATTGTTGTACAGAAAAGCCAGCCCTTGTAACACACATTCATGCTTACTCTTCAGCCTAATATCTGATGCTAAGTTAATCAACGCAGTTCCTGCGCAAAGATTAATTAAAGGGCAATTGGGTTGAAGTTTGCAAGCTTCCAGGTACTTCCTAGCTGCTACATGGTACTGATGGATGTTACCAAACTTATGGCCTTCGATGATGATAGACGGGACACAAGCTGTCCGTTGATTGTGAATGCGTTTTTGTCTTTTTCTTGAGGGGAGGGTCTTGTCTACTTTTGATAGTGCTTTATAGTAGTAACTCCATGTTTCCATTTTAGAAGGGTGTTTAAGAAGGATAGACTTCAGGAACTTGCAGCTGCGCATTGTGTCTTGGACTTCACATGCCACCTGGACAGCGACGGTTGTAATACTTTCCCTTCTTTCATCTGACAATATGTTGGAAGCAAATCTGAGCGTAAGTATGCCAACGTCAAATGCCTCTTCGTATCTTCCTAGAGATGCAAGAGCTTTGGCCAAGTCCACAAAAAGTTGATGATTCTCTGTGTCTTTTAGGAGTTTGGGTGTTGGAGATTTCTTCTTGTGCAACGGTACCCGAGATTCTGAATCTGAGCCTGGATCTGAATCTTCGCCCATCAAATCCATACCAGCGGCTAGAGATCGTCTTTTCTTTTCATCTTTCAATGAAGATCTCTTCTCGAGTACCCTCTTTGCTCTCATGGCCTTTTGTCTATCCTCTACATTAGCCACAGGTTTAAAACCTAGGACTAGATCGTCAGTTTGATCAGCGTATAACATTTTGGCTCTTTCTTGATGCACTCTCTCAGGGAGCTTTTTATTCTTAGCTGCCATTTTTGGAGGTTCAAAGGTAAAAGCCTGACAAACCAAGGGATAAAATGTGTCAACGAATTCTCCAATCATATCTTTATCTCGGTAGATGTTGGAAAGCTTAAGTTGCACTTCCACATCATTCCACCATTCATCACTTTGTATATTGTTCTTGTTGTTGATGATGTTGTTATTGTTACATATGGTTTTCAACCCAACCCCTGGATTTGGGGGAGAAAGAAGAAATATGGCTTCTTCGTCTCTACCTCTCTCAAGAAGAAGTGAAGCTAAGGTAAGCCGAGTCTCAACACCATGTTCAAGCAAAGGTAGAGCTTTGTAGAAGGATTCAATTGCTTCATCCCACTTTTCTAGAGACAAGTAACATCCAGCGATTTTTAAATTCAGATTTCCACTGGTTGATCCTAAATCTTTTTCCAACATCAAGTAGTAATGCAAAGCAGACTGATGATGACCGAGCTTCTTGAACGTGTCTGCGATTTCAATTATTGACTCCATAATGTCATTTACTTTCTCAACACGGAGTGACCCAAAACGGGATTTTGCGCTATCTAGATCTCCGAGATGGAGGTAGCAAATTCCTGCCTTAGCTGTTATTAGATCTCTAAAGGAAGATTCTCTACTGGAGCAATCTTCCCCTTTTTGAATATGTTGAAGAGCTCTAGAATACTCACCGTTCTCAATGCATATGCTGGCTAGCATCAAAGTGATTCGTGGATCGCCACGGGTTGGGCAATGGCTGAGATAACTCTCAAGAGCAACCAGTGAAGATTCAACCTTACCACACTGCTTATACAGCTCAGCTGCTGCCATGCAGACTTCAGAATCATTGAGTCTGAGGTGGTGTATCTGTTCATACAGCTTTGCAGCTTTCTCATACTCTTTGAGTTCAGTGTAATGTGATGCGCCAAGGAACTTAAGCATGATGTCATTGGGGTCCACAGCTATGGCCTTGGGAAGGTAATAATTAACAGCAGCAGCTTTACCTTGATCTAAAAACCAAGAAAGTAGTGACTTCCAGAGGGATGTGTCCTTTGGCCTGTCTACACTCTGTGTAGCAAGCATGTAATAACAGATGGCCCTTTTCTTATCGCCCTTTGCGTTGTAGACGAGGCCGAGCGTATGATAAGCATCGTGCGTTGGGCTACGCCTAATACACTCACTGAGCAACTGTATGGCCCTCTCGTAATCCCCTGTCGCATAGCACAGTGTGGCCTCACCTAACATTTTCCTGGCTTCGGGGTCCATGCTGCTTCTAGAACCTTTGCGCCTTCCTTTTCTCTTTTTCTTCCTTGACTTCCTCCTAGACCCGTAATTCATGGCTTCCATGATTTCATCCATGCTAGCACCTAGAAACTCTACCTCCCCCTTCTGTTTCTTCGAAGTTTGTTTGTCATCTTGGTAAGACGCAATGGCTTTTCTCTTATTCTCTGCAAGTTCATTGTAATTAGCATCGTCCACCAAGAAACTAAAAGGCATTATCTCCTCTTCTGACTCATCCTCTCCACTTTTTCCACTAGATACATCATCACACCCATCACCTGATTCTGTTTTCCCTTCACGAGCATCTAACTCCACACCCTTTTCATAACCTCCAATCATCACAAGCTTCTCTTCTTCACGAGAAACCCCAACTTCATTTGTTTCTCCTCCCATTGCCCCACTTTAATCAAATCTCACATGCAAATGTGTAGCAGTTTCTTCACCGGGCAAAAAAAAGAACCACATTTACTTCACTTCAGTGTGAAAGAGTCAAGTAAAAACCTGAAAAAATATGATAAGAAGAAGCTTATAGTCTTATACCAAACATGTGTGTTGATAAATTAGGAACCAAGCACCCAAGCTTATGTAACTATTATACTAAGGATGGTAGTATTGCCGGTGCTTCTCGAGAAGCAAAAGAAAAAAAAAATCCTACCTTTCACAAACTAGATCAACATTTGGATTAAGCAAAACACAACTAAGTCTAGCTATGCTCGCATATTGCAGCCCACCCTAATCAATGGTGATAATATTTCTGCATAAAACTTTTTTTGCTTTTTATATATGCAAATTTTTATTTCTAATACAAAAAAAATTAATACGGGAGAATTGACTTTAACTTGACTTGAACCCTTTTGGATTTTTTAATTGGACTAAATTTTCTGGTCGTGTCTGAGTTGTTTAAATCTAGACTAGTCTAATACGCAGTAGATGATTGTTTTATATGTATTAACACGGCTATGGTCTGAGACTGAAACCAGTCTAACTAAAAAGTTATGATTCGGAATGAAGAGAGTACTTAATTTCTTTATGTCGGTAAGAACATCTAAAACTCACGCCGATCTTTAGCCAGTCCACACAAAAGCAAATCCCTTTCTGGATTACAAACCAAGAAAGTTGGCAAAGACTTCAACTTTACCAAATAGACCACAAGAAGTCCAGAAAAAGATCATTTAGAAATTTAGAATGCAGTTCTCCAATTGGGTATGGCTTAATTTGATCCAGTAAGCACTACAACGCTATAAAAACCCAGAATCCAAACTCGCCTAACAGAGAAGACAAACGGTACTACCAGAAAAGATAGATTATCACTGCACAACTAAGAAAGAGAGAAGCGTGTGCTGAAAAAATCACTGAATTACGCGCTACCAGAAATCTTGAAGCCTTACCATGGATATTGGCGCTAACTAGGAATGCTGCACTGCGAGTCTGGGACCAACTGCTATTCGAGTAAAAAACTCTTGTTTGATTATGTTAGTTCAACCGAATAAATTTCTTTTGCAATTCGAATAGAATAATTTAGGTTGTCACCAATGGGCATCTGTGCCCTTTAACATTTTTTTGGGGCAAAAAACTTCTTAACGGTGGCTAATAAAATCTGACTATTAAATTTGTTCTTACTATGACTGTATATAACAATTAAATCTGACAATATTTTTGATATTTTTCTTGTAAAGTCCGTTTGGTATCCCTGTTTTTGGTTTATTAGGCTTATCAACCAACTTTTTCATCAAATAGTAATTTTTTATTTCGCGTGCTAAATTACGTAATAATAAGAAAAAATAAGGTTGGAGTTACTTTTATGGCTGTATTAACTGAAATTACTGTAGGGGACCATTTTAGGTATTTTTACATATAATTTTTTCTTTATTTTATTAATAAATTATATTTTAGATATAATTTTTTAATAAATTTGCAAAATCAACCAATTCAACCACTTTTGCAAGAATTTCATAAATTTCAGCAAAATCAGCCGAATCAGCCAATTTTGGTATCACCAGACGGGCTCTTAATTTCAGCGGGAGAGGTAAATCTAGAATATTTTGGTCCTAAAATCAGGACATACTTTCTCCCTTCCTAAAAAAGTGCAACATGTTGAATTCTACACTATTCACATGATCTACTTTAAATATGCTTTATTTATTAATGTTTTAATAAATATTTTTTATAAACAAATATTCTTAAATTGAAGAATATTTGAAGTTTTGAAGTAATATGAAACTGATTCTGAGATTACTTATTCATTTTATTTAGTTATTTCCATCAATCGATTTCTATGTATGTTTGTTTATATATTCTTATGTCTTACATTGACTTATCATACAAAAAAATAAAGCTACTGAAGCACCACAAGTGACTGGAGCACCAACCAAAGGACCTAGTAAATAAAAAATACATTCTCTACACTTGCCATATTTTAATCAATTTGTATTTTGAGAAGGAATTTACACCAATAAGCATATTTCATATCCTTGTTACTATATAGTGTACTTTATTCATTTTATTTAGTTATTTCGATTTCTATGAATATTTATATACTCCTTATGTCTTATGTTGACTTGTAATGCAAAAAATAAAGCTTCTGGAGCGGACTTGGAGCATTAAGGAAACAACCTGGTAAGTAAAAAGCATATTCTTTGCACTTGCTATTTTTTAATCAATTTGTATTTTGAGAAGGAATTTACACCAATAAGCATGTTTCATATCCTTGTTACTATATGAAGTTGTTTCCAGGAAACAACCTGGTAAGGAGTATCTAAATTTGTAAGCATAAAACGGCCCGTTAGTATTTAGTTTACTTTACTAACATATGAAGTACATTCTTTGCACTTGTGTTTTATATTTTGTTTCTGGTTTAGTGACAACACTTACCAATTTAATAATGTATTTCTTTAGTTATTTCAATTTCTCTGAATGTTTATTTGCATTGGCACTTTCATTGGTAATTATGTAATGTAGATAACGTGTAATGTACTTTAATTTACAGCTCAATCTCTAGGGTAATAACGAAACTATATCACAAGGGTCAAATAATGTGTGTGGAAAAACTTGTAGCCAAGGTGCACGAAAAGCAATGAAAAGTGCGAAGACAAGATTCACGGTAGAGTTTGACTTTGACCTTTTGAAAACAATACGCGCTAATGCAGAGGCTTTCAATAACGAAATTGGATATATTGTCCGAACGCAATGTGACTTAAAGTTTAAAGAATGGAGGTTTGTAAGAGAAGCGGTGAGGGCACCACTTCGTTATAAACTTCTTGTAAGTCTTCATAATTAAAGATTATCTTATTTAATTTGGCTAATTCAATTTTATTTTTCCTTTGCAGTTTTCCAATTCATGGAATGTTCTTAATTTAGTATCCCACATATAATTATATGAATATTTGATTAATTTGGTGGATATGTTTGTGTATAAAACTTGTACTGCTTGTATGAATATTTGATTAATTACTTCAGCTTTGTGTGGCAGGTGGTGTTGCATTTAGAGGATCGAAAAAAGTTGTCTATACCTAGCTTAGCTGAACACCACCTCCCCAGAGGACCCTGAACTCCCCCGCCTTCTTATTCTTATTGAGTCCCTTTGATTCAGAAACTGGTTGACCTTTTTTGGAAAAGCTTTCCGAACAAGTTCTATGTCTTCACCAGTTGACAAATAGCAGCAACCGTCCTCTCTATGAATCTCTAGCCCATCAAACCCTTCTGTTAAATCATTCACTTCTTCATCATTCCCACCTTCTTTGGTGGCAATCTCCAACACATCATCACCCTCTTGTGTTAGATATTTCCATTCACCAATATCTCTCCAAGTTTTTGGAAGCGTATTTGGCTTTTCTAATGTAAGTGTCTGATATGAACTTTCTAATCAGCTGGCTCTTCTGTTAAATCAATAACCTCATCGGCTCTCCCAGTTTTCTTGATATGAACTTTCGTCTTGTCAGGATGGTCACTTGTCAAATATTTCACCCCAGTAGATGTCATATTCTGTTGATACATGTTAGGCTTTTCAGGTGTAACGGTATGGATATCTTCAACTGGATCTTCTGTTAAATGTATAACTTCATCAGCTGTTCCGGTTTTCTTGATATGAACTTCGGTCGTATCAGGTGGAACTTCCATGAAAGCATTAGATGTTGTATTGTCCTGATGCATATTGGGCCTTCTAGAGGTAACCGTGTCATCGATATCAGCAAAGATTGTGTTTGTTGCTTTCTTCCAATAAACGACATAAAACTGAACATCGTATCTTGTTTTCACCCGCTTGATATGAGCAAAACTCATACTGTCCATAGAGCAAAAGACTTTCAGAATTTGAAGCTACATCTCTCAGAAACAAAGTTGATAGCATTGGGAGCATTCTCTTCCGCGTATCAGGAGGCTTCCATCCCTGAAGTCGAGCTAAATACTCAACTAGCATTTCAGTTTTTGGGTCTGTCCAAAATATCATCTTGCGGTCTTCATCAAATCTGTTTTCATTATGCAAATAGATATTAATGATTAAATCATGTGGGAATTCCTCTGAAGTAATCTATCTGCAAACTTTAATATGCCAATTTTCATACTTCCTCTGTTCATCTTCTTCTTTTCTATCCATGTTGCATGATGAACAGTTACACTTAAAATCTGGGTCTACAATTTATATGAAGTAGTATTAACTGAAGTAGTATTAACTTTGCAATGAGCTAACTCTAGTTATTGCTGCCAAATTATATTGAAATTATATTATGTTTTTAGAAAGAGATGGTTTTCTACTCACTAGAGTTCTATATTACTGGATTTGGTGTAGCACATGACCTCTCAACACAATGTTCATGTTATATTTCTTACTTTGCTGATTTGCAGACATAATTTGATGTTGATTTGGAAGATGAGAATGTAAGGAAATGCATTGATACTCAAATGCAAAAAGCGTGGCATGGGTACAGACATACATTACGTACGCACTTTAAAGAAGTTGGAGGTGCTAGTGATTTAACAACAGCAAAGAGTAAGCCTCCTAAGGACGTCAACAGTCTAGATTAGGATTATCTATGTGATTTGTGGAGCGACCTTGCTTATCTGGTAATGTGATTTACTGAACTAATGTGTGGTTATATAATATTCTTAATATGTAGTGTTAGACTTCAGTTTTATTTGCTTAATGATTTATCAAAAACATTAAAATAAATAATTACTTATTATAGTAAAGTATCATACTGAATATCATCTGATTCCATTTAAAGTTTTGTTGGTTAATTTCACTATTTTATTTTGCATAAAACACATGTATAAGTGTTTTCTGGATTTTGTTAACGACGTGTATAAGGTTGTTTTAAGCCTTAAACTGTTTTGTATTGTACTTCATAAGTTTTTTTAGTAGTATGAGGGCATGAACTTATATTTATTATGCTGACCGTGGACTGATAATTGTTATAAGCAATGTGCGGACTTGATTTTTGTAATGTGATTATCTATTGTTATAGGAAAAAACTCTTACGAATGTTGAATCATGCAAAAAGAGAAAATACAATTCTAGAAATGGTTCTAAAAGTACAGCTCGCCATCACGTTAGTCGTGGAGTTGATCTAGATGCCCCAGTTGGACATATCGAGACATAACGCCTGCGTCATTGGCATCCAGAGCGTGGTTGGATATCTCCAGAAGCAGAATCTAAAAATGTAAGTAAAATTTATCTCAAATATGTTATTAGCCCATCGGACATGTTGTGGAAACATTTTAATTAAATACTATTGCTTTAAAAACCTAACAGGAAGAAATGATGCAACTTAGAAGAGATAACCCACCCGAGAAATTGACTGATAAGCAAATATTAGAAAATGTGCTTGGACGGCAATCTGTTCGGTTGTTTGGTTGGGGATGGTCTCCCTCTGGATCTAAAAGAAGTAAAAATGACTCAAACCTTCCTACCTATAGTGAGTTGGTTGGCACAGTTGAAATGATGAGGAAATTGTTGATTGAGAAGAACATCATTCCTCCCATGCCACAAATTGCATCAGATCATTGTTCGGGAGCACACAATCGCGACTCGTCATCTGTTGGCCGAGATCAGCCTATTGATGGCTATGTTGACTCTACTTCTGAATTTGATGATGTCGAGTAGAAATAGCATTGAGATCAGAACACGTAATACATTATTTATTGAAGTGCATGACACTGATTACTATGTGTTGGCATAAAAACTTGTTTTCCTTTATTTGGTGTTGTTATTGAAGACTAAATTCTCATGGAGGATACTTATTATTATCAGTATTATGCATTGTCAATCTACCGACATAATTTTGATTTTGAATGAGCTTGTTTTCAATTTGTATTATATTGATGTGTTCTGTTATTATTATATAGGTCTATTTCGTAAAAAAATAAACGTTAATTAAATCAAAAGAATAGTCGTACCAACCCATAATTATCAGTAGCTACACACAGACAAAACTTTTACCCACACTTACGTTTCGTTTTACCTACACCTATATATATTTATTCACGTTTATTTGAATCATTTAGCTACACATTTCTCATCTTTAGCTACACATAAAATGTGTCCACGTGGCTGTATGTTTCCAAAAAAAATAACATCATTTTCCATGTGTGCCATGTAATCACTAAATTGCCACGTCACGTGCCATGTCACGTGCCACGTCAGACGCCATGTCATCAAGACGGTGTGTACATGACAAACAGCAACACACGATATAGTATTTTACCTACACATACATGTGTAGGTAAAAATAAACAATATTACCCACACATACATTTATGTGTGGGTAAAAACATTTAACTACAGTTGAATACCCACACATGTCTACACTTAATTTATGTGTAAGCAAAAATGATTACCTACACATACCTATACTTTTACCTACATATACATGTATGGGTAAAACTCCAATTTTCTTGTAGTGTTCCGAATCAGAACCAAAGGTTCCGATTCTCAAATATCCAATGAGCCGAACTGTCAATATAACTGAAGGTTCTAAACCACCTAGTCCTACCGGTTCTGGTTAAAATTGCACCGAACCACAATATGAATTTTACATTATAGGATGGAAGGAGTATATATTTTCTTTCGTCCCTACCTAACGTCAAAAAACGTTAAAATGAGAAGAAAAATCTTAAGCCATATGACATCGATGACTCCGGAGACAACGATGGTAATTGATAGTGACATAATAAAATTATTGTGACATAAAAACCTGTTAATGACATACTCCATTTGTCTCTCATAACTTTGTCACCTTTATTTTCGTTTTTGTTTTCCCCAAAACATTGTCACTTTTCACTTAAACAATTAATTAATTTATGATTTTTTAATATTTCTCTATCTTCTACAAAAACCTCAAACACAAGTCCGTCAGACTTGGCAAACATATAAGCATAGGAGTAATAAACAGGCCGTGACATTCAGGTCTCAATTTTATTACCTTTTTTTTTTAAAGAAAGTAACTTAATTATTATTGATAAACATACTATAAAGTAACTTAACAATTACAATAATATAGCTCAAAGCTACAATGAGATGCAACGTAGAAATATACGATTTAAATCGAAAACGCTGAATCACTAATACCGCAAAGAAGTAGTCTCCATCTGCAGATTAACTGCTCCTGCTACGACCACAATAATTATCAAAGGAACTCTTGAACATCTCGGTTTGTCCAGCCACCGGTAAGGAGCCAACTGTAGATTTTGTTCCAGTTTTACCAGTCACCGGAAAGAAAGCAATCCATGTGATCTCATCATCCTGGAACATCCGATCTTCTTAGCACACAAGAACATCCGATCGAAAGTGATGGGGAATATGCATCTGGCTAACGATACTTCGCCACCGATAATAATCTCCATACAACGCTGGGAAAGAAACATATGAATAGAACTGAAAACACTGATTAAGAATTCAATTGGATCTGCTTAGGGGGTGTTTGGATCTGCTTCTTCAAACTGCTTCTGCTCCTTGAGGGAGTAGAAGCATATATTGGAGTGTTTGGGTGGAAGTGCATAAATACTTCTTAGTGATAAAAAATGAAGCAGAATCAATTGCAAACACCCCCTAGATTCTAATATTGAAATTCATAGGAGTTGATTATAGATATAATTTAATAAGTTCTTATAAAAGAAAAAATAAGAAAAGAAGTGAATTAGAATATATGAATCAGAAATCACGATGCTCAATATTGAACTCTTAATATTCAACAGAATAGGTATGGTCTGATGCTCACTAAAAGTGCATTATTGCTCATTCAACATAAGCCGAGATTTTCACATAGTTTACAAAAATGCCACCGGCTGAACGGTGCAAGTCGTACAACATAGGGACTCGAAGAGGTCCTACACTCCTACAACATAGGATAATGCAGTATCCTATCATTTTGGTTGATTTCCAGTACACTAACATTTTTTTTACTTTCCTTCAAATAATGCCTTAATTCGACTGGGAAAGTGTTTTCCCAATAAACAACCACTTAAGTAGAGTTTTTTTTTTAAAACAATCACTTAAGTAGAGTTAAATACGTCTGGAAATTTAATTTAGTTCAATTACATTGCTCAAGACCAAACCAGACTAAAAAAGGAGTTGAAGAACAATTTTTATAATAGTGGATCAAATCAAATTCATAAACTGAACTGAGTAATACTGAATAGTTAATAGATTAAAATGGAAGTAACTATATAATTAAAGCATGAAACAAAATCCACTACTAGTATCATTATATTGTGAAGAATGTTCATTGCATCTACATGTTGTGTAGGATACGACATAATATTCACACAAATGATCTCGAAAAATTACATGGAAAAAAGGAACAGAGAAGTTGAAAGCTCGCTTGCAGCTATAGATGATAAGATGATGGGAACGATGTGTCTACTCCAACTCCTCCTACACATAGCATATGAGTAATAATACACACAAATACATACACAGAGGTTTCTTCAATTATCTGATCAGAATGTGTGATATGATGAAGTGCCGAGTGTGATATTTGGATAAGAATCTTTAGATTCTGTACTATGTATGTGCCGAGAATGTTTACTTACTCTCATCTCAGCAGCTTCTTGTTTGGCTTAGTGGGTCATAATCATAGGCATCACCCGGCTTGACAAACCGTCCCTTGACTCGCCTTCTAACATCAGCTCGGGCCTTACGTGAAGCATATCTCACTTGCTTTTCAAACCTGCCATTTTCCAAAGTTGTATCTTTGAATGAGGTAGGTAGGCTAAAACATAAAACAAGTCCTCGGATAGTGTTAAGGACTACCATGATCATATTGCTCACTTGAGTTTCATATGCTTCGATACTATATTGAATGTGGATCCCATTCTAAAAGTCAACAAAGACTCTAAAAGTCTTTTCTGTTGGTTTGTAATTCTATGGTTTATCCAAGGAAAAGCTAAAAAAAAGTAACCTCCCGATGGGGTGTTGGACGGTTGGCATTTAGGGCACGAAGAATTAATATGTACAAACAACGATTTGCATTTTTGCGTCTCCATACTAGAAGGACATATACACCAACAGCTTGAAATCTTGCTGGTGTGATGCCTATAGGGCTAGTTTTGCTGACATGGTCTTCTTGGTCATTTAGACCAGAAGTGGATCCTGATGTGGTAACCACTATTGACGATAACACAACCATTGTCATGGTAGTGGTTCTGATCGTGCAAACCAACCAACCAGAAAGTACTTGTTATGTACACTTCCCTTATTATTAATGTGGTGTGTGCTTAGCATAACAACAAAGAGAGTTCTCATTAATCTTACTTGCGAGTTTTCTTCTTTGCTTTGTAGCGCAACACAGCATCAGTCCTACTAGAGGAAGGCGGCTCGCGGAATGACGAAGCTCCACAGTCCTCATGATAATCTCCACCACTACTCTCTCCGGTGACGTTTGAGAATGAGAAGTTGTTGGGCAGTCGAAAACATGGGTTAGGTGGTTCTGTCCAGCAGCTCATAATGGAATCTCCAGATGCTGCTTGAATTGCCTTGACATGTACGCCCCTCGTTGATGACCCCTACCATACAATCAATAATGTCAACACATGGAAACACAAGTATCTGGCGCAAACATGAAAGAAAAGGGTATCTAAATGTGAAGCATGGAACGTTAGAACAACCTCAACCGCATTTGCACCCTTACAGCTGGAATGAGCAACAGACATGTCCTCTGTCTCAAATAGGTCATCAATTCCTGGATTCTCTGGATTGTTAAGTGACATAATAAATAATTCTTCATAATCTTCATCCATATTCAAATCCCTATATAAATCAATATCCTCTTCGTATATACTCATGTCTTTGGTTCCAGGATAGCAAACCTGAATTTATTATTAAACAAGCATAAGAACCTAAATTGACTCTCACATAAACACTCTGAGAAAAGACTTGCCTAATTTATTTAATGTAAATCAGAAAACTTCATACTTTATTGTCAATTGGGACCCTTCCTAAATACTATCGTATTTACCTTGAATATTGTTTTGTAATATCATATTCTCATTACACACAAACTGCTACTACTACTACTTCCTTCCTAATTTGAAGGTCTGATATTTCAGATCACCAAGTCTGACTAAAGTTAAAACTAACTCTTCCTTAATAATATTGAAATGAGTATCAATTATTCAAATTAAAATAATAAAAAACCACAATAAACTTTCCATAAAGCCAAAAAGCGAACTAGAGTGTAAACAAAAATATGATAATTAAAGCAGAGATCAAAAGAGCCCTTGATTGACCGCAGAATAGTGAATATTACCTTCAAAGCGGGACGCGGGGTTTTTTTTTATTATGACACATAAGTAAAAATGAAGAAAACTAAGCTACGAAGGGAAACAACATCATGTCACACCTATTTGTTCTTGTTTACCGAAAGTTATGCCATCTCACATAGGGAAAATATAACACATAACAACCAACATAACTAATCTTCTAGGACGAAACCACAAGTTTTGATATCCACAACATAAATTACCTTTGGTGAGGTGGAATAGGTGGATCCAGTAGGATGTTCTATCTTGTCAATAGTTCTCATAGATGTTCCCATCCCACCAGGGAGCAAACTTATAGTAGGCACGACACTTCTTCCTTCAACCATAGTGGACAGTTCTACAGAACTAATCTCTCCTGCTTCTGGAACTAGGGCATTTTGACGGGTATCAGTGATGCTCATTGAACCCATTCCTTGCTCACACGCAAAATCATCAACCGTAGGGAAATCTAAGAGAAATGGCCACATGCTATAAAGTTGGGCAGCTGAAGGGCAGCCTGAATAACAGCTGACTGCTTGCCTCTTGTGAGTGGAATTAGGGTGCCCTGTCCAGTCACAG